TGTTAAAACCATTTGAGATGTTGCTCAGGAAGAGGTATACAAGTGGATCTTCCCCCTCAGTGATTCCTCCTTTAGGGTTAGGAACATTCTTGAAAGTTTGCTCAGTCCAGCGACAGATGTTTTTAAGTTGTTTGGTTTGAGCTCCCCATCCAGAGCTTATATTAGGCAGCTTGATTCTGCTTTTAGTCTTGTAGATAACGGAGAAGAGTGTTTTTTTTTGTTTTTTTTTTTGTTTTTTTTTGTTTTTTTTGCAACCTTTCTCAGCTCCAGTCAGAATAGCAGAGAAAAGCCCTCAGCATATTTGAACAGACTCCATAGCCTCCTTACTTCTACTTCTAGAGGGGGAGTCTCTGTTGAAACACCTGCTCAGACAGTTCAATAGAGGCTGCTGGGATGAGTCTCATCATAGCTCTCCAGCTAGAGAACAAAAAGAACAGTCCACCAGCATTTTCAGAAATACTCCTTGTGTTGAGAACTGAGGAAGGTGCTAGATCTGCAAAGCTAGACAAGATGAAAAAATATCTTGGTTCTACAAAAGCCAGCTGTACATGCCCACTCCATTTTTGATGTACCCTCCTATGATGATGAGCCTGTTCCAATACAGACTACAAAACAGAGCGAGGCATCTAAGCTTGAAAGGAGATTGGATAAGCTTGCAAAGCAAGTAGAGAAACTGAGCCAAAGGTCCATGAATCCTCCTTTTGACAGTGAGCTTAGTGCAGCGTCAAAACAGAGAAAACAAACTGTTAAACTTCAAAATAAGACAGATCAGTTGTCTTAAGAAACTTAGAGAGCTCGCTCGGTACCAGAAATGTCCTAAAGAAAATAAGTGATGACAAAGATTACTTAATGGCAAGAAACAGCAGTGGCAGGAGACCTGTTAAGGTTCCCTGTCTGCCAGAAGTGTGGTTCAGCTTTAGATGTGGTGAAGATGACCATACTGCTGCTCGACGTCTGAATGAACCTAACCAGACACTAGTCTGTCAGGCAAAGCAAGAAAGGTTCCAAGCCCAACAGGTTACTGAGCCTTTTACTTTAAACTTGTAGCAGCTCTTGTTGTGGGACGCCCAGGAGCTGAGACCAGCATCAATCCCACCTTATTTGACCAAAGCATTCATTTTCAGAGAAAAATAAAAACCCAGACAATGGTTGAAGATTTTGATTCCAAATCTCGCTTGCCAGCCAGTCTGCTAGATCCTCATTGTGCAGCTTCTGTTTTGTGTGAGGGTGTGCAATGCAATTCCATGATGGATTGTGGTTCACAAGTCACTACAATGTGCTAATTGTTTCAGAAAGATAAACTTGCACATCTCCCCATTCAGCCAATTGAAGCATTGTTTGAGATTGAGGGAGCAGGTGAACAGCATGTCCACTACCTACCTTGGTTATGTTGGTTACATGCTCATTGAAACCATCCCAGTTCTGTGAGCATAGCAGCCACCTAGTTAAACTCTAGAATTTTCTTTTCCTCCCATCAATCTGACGAGGAGCATGCTGTTCTCTTAAACACTTCATGCTGTAAGCTAATGATAGTTATATTAGAGCAGATGCATGCTGGTGCAATAGGCTGTCGACTAATTGCAATATTAATTGATGACTAGTGGACTATCAAAATAATCGTTTGTGGCAGCCCTAGTTTCAACATTTGAATGAATGAATGAAGATTCATATGTAAAATGCATTCTTATCTTGTTTTGGTGAGAGGGCCTTTAATGTTTCTCTTTGGATCATCCATCCATCCATCTCTTCTGCTTAACTGGTTCAAGGTTGGAGCCGTCCCAGCTGTTATGGGGCTAGAGGCGGGCAAAACCTGGACAGGTGGTCAGTCTAACACAGAGAAACACACAACCATTCACACTCACATTCAACCTAACTGCATCGCTCTGGACTGTGGGAAGAAGCCGGAGTACCTGGAGGGATCCACAAAGGCAC